TCTCTAAAAAGAAAATCCCTTATGTTATATTAGGCTTATCTGTTTCTAATAGGCAAAGCCTAGTAGAAGGCTCCATCAGCAAACTGGCTGCTTGGAAATATGATTACCTGGGTTCTAATTCCAGAATACACATATGAAAAATCAGACATACACACATCAGCATTCAATCACAGGACATGAGGCATACATTATGTGAGTAATCTCATGAGTTTTACTGGCCCGTTTGGTAAACATATTTGGCAAATTCTGGACTTGTGTGAAACACTATGTCAATCTGACATTGCTAACACAACTGTGCATGCAACTAATATTTGGTGGATCTATTAGCACCCTTGTATCAGCTGAGTTTGTATACACAATTGTTTCACTATGAAGCAAATCAATGTTCTACTACATACTGAAGAAGGATCATTAAATAAATCTTATTAGAGTAGCCTATAATATTTAATGAGCTGATGAAAAGGGCAAGTCAGATTTTTGCATGTTTGCTAGCCCTCGGTGTCTGTTCATATTCTAATTGATGGCCCCACAGAAAAGACAACAAAGGGGCTTTCCCTAAACTCAGATGTCACACAAAAGAGAGTAACTGTATGAACTAAACACGGAGTTGTGATAATGATGATTAAAGCAGTTCTACTAGGGAAAATGCAGTGAATTTTTGAATTTTTTCAAAATATCTAAATTTGCATGTGACTATTGAGCAAAGTATTTTGTAAATATTTATGGAACTTTGAATCCAAAATGAATGCCATACAAGCAAACATGTGTGGAAACACACATAAATGCATACATGCAAATTAGAAACAATAAAAAGTATACAAGTGTTATGAATAATACACTATAATACAAAAAACCTCAAAACATTGCATAATCATTAGAACACAGTAAGATACAATATTCAACCTGCCTATGTTCAGGGTATAGCTAAATGTACCATTACTATTTACAAGAGTAGCATCTTGTTTCTGTCATTCATATATATATATATATATATATATATATATATGTATATCAGAAATATATTTATGGGAGTGGTGTAAGTAAAGAATCTATCATTGCAGTAGAAGAAATGACATGACATATCAGAAATTGTCACCAGAAAGCTGAAATTCACAGCACAGAATCACCATCAACCAGCAGCAGGCAGAAAGGGAGGGTTTCCTGTATGTAGCCAGAAATTTGGCCCAAGCAAATGCATACATGATTAACTCCTAGTTGGCTCAGGCTGTTTTTTGTTTTGTTTTGGTTTGTTTTTGTCTTTGTTTTTCTGATAAATGGATAAATAGCCCGGAGTAAATTGCATATTTTTCTCTCATGCTCTTGCAGACTTTCAATTTTGCTGCTTCAGTGGCAGGACACATATATTTAGGTGGAAAGGAAAAATGAAACAGCATTTCTGATGGAGATCTCCAAGGTAAACACAGGATTTGCCTCCTTTCCTGGAACTGAGATGATTGTCCTTATTGGTTCTTATTCCAGGCTAAATTTGAATGCACACAGTCCTTCAATCAGAGGCTAGTAGTGCTAATAAAAGTGTCTCTGGAGTGGCTTCTTATCTGTTAGGCTCTGTCTATACTTCAGGACACAGTTGATTCTGGGTATAGCTAAGGACCGACTCTATATTGGCCCAGAAAAGTCATACTGCTCCTGAAATCTACAGGAGACAGAGCCCATGAAGTTTAGCAAAGTCAGGATTTTTGGATTTACAGGAGCACAGCTCTGAGTCCTCTGCTCTTGTCCCCTGTGTAGCAAGTAGGATCCTGCTTCTTAGGCTACAGCTTCTCTTTAAAGAAGTGACATTCGAGGTTCAGTCTAAAATGGAGCATTATAAGCAAGGGAGATAATCCAATTCAGGCTTTACAAACTGGCACAGAAAAAGAGAGTCCTTTTTTTTTTTTTTTTTTTTTTTTTTTTTTTTTTTTATTTTTTTTTTTTTTTTTGCCAGGGAGATCCATTCTGGGAATAGCTGTGGTATTGTCACTTTTATACAGTTACCTAGAGTCACTGAAAGAATCAAGCAGTAACTGTTTCTGACACTAGCCTTTCTGTCACTAGAGCCTCTGGGTTGACAATAAAGAATTTAACTGAAATGAAATTTACTTGTCAAAATCCTTTTGCCATTGTGGTCTCAGAGGCACAACTTTCAAATATTGGTAAGCATTGTCAATTCCTTTTGACACAGAGAAGATTTGGACCTTTTATTCCCCCTGGTCAGCCCATTTCTATCTATGATACCTGACAAGGCATGAACTTTGCTCAAACCCAATTATTTATTTCTAACGACAGTGAGGTATTACATGCTTCCCTTGAGAGTAAGAGCCCAGATTTCTTATTTTTGTTTCTGGTATTTTCATGTTTCATACCTGAGAATGGCCCATCTTGTGTCTGATAACTCACAATCTCAATTTTTATGACAGATAGGAAAGTTGAGACTGGAAAGCTTGGTCATTATGGAATGTTCCCCAGCTCCAAATATGTTAAAATCTTTCTGGTCCTTTTCAACACAGATACATGAGGCTTTTAATTAGCCATATGAAAAGGGCATTAAACAACAGCACATTATACCCCAAATCTCTAAGGGTCTATAGAAAGAGAACCCTATATATCATTGTGTTAATTCCCATTTAATACGAAAAGAAATATCTCAGATGAGTGTCTAGCAATAACAGATCTATCAGTTTATTACTATGTCTTCAGGACTTACTTTATTTCAATTTGACTCCAGTGGAATTAGATAAACTATTTATATATTTCTCTGACAATTCTAGTCTCAGGTACTTTGTCCTATATTGAATGTAGGGCATTTATTCACCTCATGGAATAAATTGCAGTCCTTCCAAGTTATTGACTAATTGTATTATTTAAAGGCCTCCTTAGCAAAAGTAGAAAAAAATAGAGGAATACTCTACAACTGCTGTTTTTGTATTGTAGCTTATGGGTATGATATATTTTGTTCTTGAGGGAGTTATATGCAGAGTAGTTTCCAATCCCCTCCGAAGTAGTCATACCCAGTGAAGCTTCAATGAGGTACCATGTGGTTTTCTGTTCTATCATAACAGAAGTATGTAGGATCTTCAGTAATAGCTTATCATCATCATTTTAGGAGGTGTGACCCTGGCTTGGAAATGGTTTATGAATCTATGGGAGCTCACCTGGAGGAAGTTAACCAAATAACTCCTTATTGACACCTGAGAGAAAACTCTGATTCCCCTTCATGGTCAAAAATGTGCATATTTCATAATATCTCCCCAATACGTTTTGAATCATATAATTACTTTGATATATGTACAAATGTTTTTGTACATGTATGTAGATGTGTGTCTTGCTGACACACATTTAGAGGTATATATGTATGTATAAAAATACATATGCATACATGTGTATGCATCTTTGATGTAGTTGAGCATTTTTCCCATGTCTACTGTATTTATATAATTCCACACTACCTTTATTTTCCTCCAGCATTACCATGTCTGTTCCAGGATATTCCAAAAGAACACTACTTCTTAGTGAATATATTTTTTTTCGTACATACACAAACACAGTCAGAACTAAATGATGCAGCGTAGAGAATGTGGTGAGGATATGTAGCTGTAGATTTCCTTGAACCACCTGGCCTATGGTCAGGACAATTCTATCTCACACACCAGTCCTGCAGCCACTTGGACCCAAGTAAACACTCAGAGGCTTGAATTAATTAGTACTGTTTGGCCCTTAGCTCAGGCCTACCACTGCATCGCTCTTACATTTAAACTAATCCATAGTACTTACTTATGTTTACCCACATGGCTTGGTAACTTTTCTCAGTTCTTCCTATATATCTTGCTTCCTTCTGTCTGGATGGCAACTGCTAACTCAGCCTTCTTCTGAGAATTCTCCTCTCTGCTTTTTCCTCCTATACTTCCTTCCTGGCTACTGGCCAATCAGCATTTTATTTATTAACCAATCTGAACAACACATTCACAGCATATAAAGCAGTAATATTGTGTTTATATTTTCTAAACATTGGACTTTGACATTCGATATCCTTCTTAGAATATACTTTTTCCACAGGAGAAATTCTATTCCCTAGGATCATGAATTGATTCTTAGCATTTAGTACCATACTTTCATTGTCAAGGAAAATGTTGAGTTGTGTAGATTTATCAGGTGTCCATGGACATGACATTGAAAGTACATAGCAGTTTGTGCAGGTATGGAATTTTGTAATAGTGCTGTGAAATAATGTCGTTTTTGTACAGTTACAACTAATGATGCCTGTGGGTATAAGGATCAATATATAGAAAACTGTTTGAAATACCATGCCTACAGATATGTTGTCAAAGGACTGACTCTGGGTTCACTATTACTTAGCCTTATATATTAGGCTAGGTTAATACATTAGGAATTATTTTTTCTCATTTAAATGATATATATTTCTTTAAATAAAAAATTGAAATATTTACACACCTGTAGGAAACAAGGATATAATACACTAGGATATGATAACACCGGGTAAATTTTACATTGGAAGGCAGTGGTACAATCATCAAGTCTGCTTGATGTTTTTCATTGTGTTAGCTCTGATTTCAATATGAACAGAACATGATGATGATGAGTAAAATTATTATTATATTAATGGTACAGGGGACTATTTCTAAGAACATAACAATGTAAAAATTAGTTTAAAAAACAGATTTTCGTCTGGGAAGAAGGCAATATGGCAACAGGTGGAGGAGCAGAGCAGGATCTACAGCATCGCCGCCTGCAAATCCTGGTCCAAGTGCAGGCCCATGCTGAGGAGCCCAGGGCACCGGCAAGAAGATTGGCTGGGCACAAATAGTGAAGAAACTGGCAAAGAAGAATTACAACTTCCAGGACAGACATTTGAGGTAGAAATATGTGTATGTATGAAAATACATATGCATACACGTGTATGAATCTTTAATGTAGATGAGCATTTCTCACATGTATACTGTATTTATATAATTATACTTTTCTTTATTTTTCCTCCTGCAGTACCATGTCTACTCCAGGATATTCTAAAAGAAATACTACCTCATAGTGAATTTACATTTTTCATACATACACAAATATAGTCAGACTAAATGATGCTTTGTAGGGAATATGGTGATTATTAATGAATATTTTTATTTTTAAACTTTGGAACTGAAAAGTCTCACAATGTCATTGTTAAATAACCTGCTTCTATCTATATTAGCATCCATCTTTTCTCCTTAGCTTTTCTGCTTAGTTTGTAAAGCCTAGAGAATTTCCACTACACACTGGCATGAAGATATGTGTTGTCATGCTGCTACCCTTGTTTGGTTGTTTCTTGACTGTGGATTGTATTTTTGGTTGGTGTTCATAATTTCTAAACATTGGGCTTTGAAATTTGGCATCTTTCTTAAAAGACACTTTTTCCATAGGAGGAATCCTGTTCCTTAGGATCATGAATTGTATCTTAGCATTGAGTACCACACTTTCTTTGCCCAGAAAATATGCTGAGTTGTGTGGATTTATCATACAACTGATAGACATGACATTGTAAGTACATATCAATATGTCCAGGTATGGAATTTTGTATTAATGCAGTAAAATGGTGCCTTTTTGGAGAGATAAAACTAAATTTACCTGTGGGTATGGGATATATAGAAAACTGTTCAAATGACATGCCTTCAGGGATGTTGCCAAAGAAGGAGTGCCTCTGGGTTCACTAATTCTTAGCCTTTATGTATCAGACCAGGTTAATACATTGGGAATTATTTTTTTCTCGTTTAAATGATATGATTCTTTTAATTAAAAAAAATGAAATACTCAGTCATGTCTGAGGGAAACAAGGATTTAATGCCCTAGTATATTCTAAGTCCTGGTAAGCTTTATATTTGAATGCGGTGGTACAATCAAGTCTGAATTGATGTTTTCAGTTGTGTTAGCTGTGATTTTATATGAACAGCCCATCATGATGATGATGATGAGTAAAATAATAACTATATTAATGGTCCAGGGGACTATTTCTAAGCACATACAATGTAAAAATTGGTTTAAAAAAAACCCAGATTTTCATCTGGGGAAGAAGCAAGATGGCGACAGGTGGCAGAGCAGAGGAAGATCTGCAGCAGGGCCGCCTGCAGATGCTGCTCCCCGCGCAGCCTATGGCCCAGGCTGAGGAAGCCCAGGGCACAGGAGAGAAGATGGGCTGGGCGCAGGTAGTAAAGAACCTGGCGGAGAAGAAGCACGACTTTCGTGAGCCTTGGCGGGGAGTAGGAAGGGGCAGAGGTGCGGGTGTCAGGCTGGGCAGCCCCGCGGGCCTGGCCGCTCCGAACCCTGGCAACTTCCCACCTGCGGGCCGCGGGGACCCGAGGGGCTGCACTAGAGACCCTGCGGACTACGCGGCAGAAGCTTGCAGGATGCAGGGAGCAGGAGACGCAAATCAGAGGAAGACGGCCGAGGTGGCAGTGGCAGCGGCAGCAGCGGCAGCGGCGGCCATGGCGTCCCCCTCCCCCGCCAGGCCTGTTGCGACCCAAGACGCAACTGCGGAGATAACACTGCAGGATGAGCCAGCAGCGGCCATGCCGGGTAAGGGCCGCTTCCTTGTGCGCATCTGTTTCCAGGGAGAAGACAGTGCCTGTCCGACCCGGGATTTCGTGGTGGGCGCGCTCATCATGCGCTCCATTGGCATGGATCCTGGGGACATCTATGCTGTCATCCAGATCCCTGGCAGCCGCGAGTTCCATGTGAGCTTCATATCTGCAGACAAGCTTGCCCTGTTTCTCCGCATCTATGAGGAAAAGCGGGAGCTGGACGACTGCTGGGAGAACTTTGTCGTGTTGGGGCAGAGCAAGACCGGCTTGAAGACCCTCTTCATCCTGTTCCGGAATGAGACTGTGGATGTGGAGGATATCGTGACCTGGCTCAAGCGCCACTGCGAAGTGCTGGCCTTGCCAATGAAAGTGACTGACAGGTTTGGGATTTGGACTGGGGAGTACAAGTGTGAGATTGAGCTGCGCCAGGGGGAGGGCGGAGTGAGGCACCTGCCTGGCTCCTTCTTCTTGGGAACAGAGAGGGGCTACAGTTGGTACAAGGGGCAGCCCAAGACGTGCTTCAAATGTGGTTCCCGAACCCACATGAGCAACACCTGCACGCAGGACAGGTGTTACAGGTGTGGGGAGGAGGGACACAAGAGCCCTTACTGCCGGAAGATCGTCATGTGCAACCTCTGTGGCAAGGGAGGACACATGTTTGCTCAGTGTCCCAAAGCAGCTCACAATTCCATGCGCTTCTGCCTGCCAGGTTGAATACACAGCCAGCTTACCCACTTAAGTGCCAAAACATTTTTTTTTTCTTTAGGCCATTTTTCTCTCTATGCCTTTTGAAAATCACGTGTGCTCCCTTTCAGCCTGTTTAAAAAGGAATATTCAGAACTGTTGTGTGAAGATATCTTGCCTCCCCCCCACCCCCCTCCCCAGCCACACACACCTTTCATATTCTGTTTTACATTAGTTTTGGTACTTTCGTCAACACCCTGTCTGCCTCTGTACTATTTAATAACTGCCCCCTCATCCATGTCTCATTAGAAGATTTTTGCTCTTCGGGCTGCCTTGCTCATTTTCATGCCTCAGCCCTGGGTACATGGCCCAGTGCCGGGATAGGCATTCAAATAAGTCTTTATTGAATCAAAAATGTAGTCGACTAGCTCTCTCTAGAGTGCCTACCTTGTGCAGCTCTCCGCTGGGCTCTTTCCATTTGCTGCTTCTGTGTGATATGAAAATTTGTGAAAACAGTGTTGCTCAAAGTGTGTAATCCAAATAAGCTCTGAAAGGTGGCCAAGGGCCTCTGAACGCATTTAAAGCTATCTCCCTTGTGACAGCTCCTTCTGGCTCAGAGGCCATATTTTTGTAGGAGCCTGGAGCCTAGGCAGTACTTCTGGGAAAGACCCAAGAGGTGGTTTATGTTGGATTTTCTTTCGGGAACTTGCTTTTGTTTTGTATATTGATTTGAGACAGGGGCTCACTGTGTAGCCCTGAGTGGTTAGGTACTGGCAGCATTCCTGGACCAGGCTGCTTTCAAACTTACAGTGATTTTCTCAACTCTGTCTCCCTGAAGGATGTTTTAAATTAACCCCTTGGTTTTCCAGCAGATGAATTGAATCCAAAGTTAAAAGCCTGGGTTAAAGTACACAGCTGTGTGGTGCTTCAGACTGTCCACAGTAGAGTCCACTGCCCCCATGTCTGATGCTCATCCCAGTACCCCTCACACTTCACGACAGTCTCCTTGACGATGGTGGGCCAAGGAAGTCTCTCTCCAGGTGTGTGGTCCCTGCATGAAGCTGAGACACAAGCCCCTGAAAGAGCAGAAAGAGAAGCTTGTCTTGCCACTTCATAGTAAGGGACCTAGGGGAAGGACCAGCGAACACACTGCAGGCTGCATGCATGCATCAGTCCTTGGAGTGAATGCCACATCTTCAATGTTCCACTCTCACTGTCAGCATTGAGAAATGGTTCCCCTCAGGAAAGAAACTTGCCAGACTTTTACATTTACACCTCTGCCTCATCTACTAGGAACCCCAGAGAAGCTAGTGAGAGAGAGCTCATCTGAAACCTTCGACCTCTGATGCTCAGGAGAAAGGTGGTTTTAACCCAGAATCATGAATGAGCTGTAAACTGGAAAACGTTCTTGGGGAAACAGGCCAATAGAGAGGGCCTGGGTCAACTAAGTGTTCTCAAGTTAAAGTGAAAGACAGTAAGCTGCTTTTTTCAGTTTTTGTCTTCTCTTTGCAGTTTTGCTATTTTCTTGTGGCTTAGAATGTAAAACAGATGTTTAGATTTGTTCTCAATAAATATTTATCTTTCTTGCCCACAAAAAATCTTGAGTTGTGTGGATTTATCAGGTGACCATACACATGACATTTTAAATACATGGCAGTATCTGCAGGTGTGGAATTATGTAAAGGTGCTGTAAAATGATGTCATTTTTGGAGAGTTACAACTAAATTTGCCTGTGGATATAAGGATAGATACAGAGAAAACTATTTGAAATGGCATGCCTTCAGAGATGTTTTCAAAGGAGAACTGTCTTTGGGTTCACTATTTCTGAGCCTAATGTATCAGGCTAGGTTAACACGTGGGGAATTATTTTTCCTCATTTAAATGATATATGTTTCATTAATCAAAATAAATTGAAATATTCAGTAATGCCTGTGGGAAGCAAGGATATAATACCCTAGGATACACTAATTCCTGGTAAGTTTTTACATTTGAAGGTGGTAGTACAATCATCAATCTGCCATGATTTATTTTTCCTTGTGTTATTTGTGATTTCAATATGAAAAACACATGATGGTGATGAGTAAAATAATAGCTATATTAATGGTTCAGGGGACTGACTCTAAGAACAAAACAGTGTAAAATTAGTTTAAAAAACAGATTTCCAGGGCTGGGGATTTAGCTCAGTGGTAGAGGGCTTGCCTAATAAGCCCAAGGCCCTGAGTTCAGTCCTCAGCTCTAAAAAAAAAATGCCTGATTTTGAAGAATGATGATAGATTGTAATTTAATGGAATTTTGAAGTTTTATTATAAAAGACTCCTCAGAATTGATGAAAAGGATTTTGAATATTTTCAAAATATCTATATTTGAATATTGAGCAAAGTATTTTGTGAGTATTTATGGAACTTTGAAACCAAATGTTTCATGTATGCAGAAATATATGGAACCACACATAAATGCACACATACAAAGGAGAAATTTTAAAAAGTATGTAAGAACTATGAATATTATGCTATAATACAAAAACCTCAAAATATTACATAATCATTAGGAAACAGTAAGTTAACATATCCAAACTGCCTATGTTCAGAGTATGACTAAATGTACCATTACTATTTAAAAAGTAGCATCTTATTTTGGTATATATATATATATATATATATATATATATATATATATATATATATGGCAGAAAAATATTTATTGGAGAGGTAAAAATTAAGAATCTATCATTGCAGTGAGGAAATGACATGACATTGGAAATTGTCAGCAGCAAGTGCAATCCTCAGCTCAGAATCACAATCAGCCAACAGCAGGCAGAAAGGGAGGGTTGCATGTATGTAGCCAGGAATTCAGCCCAAGCAATGGATACAGGATTTACTACTATTTGGCGTGGTCTGGGTTTTTTTTATGTTGTTGTTGTTGGTTGGTTGTTTGTTTGGATTTTTTGTTTGTTTTTGTTTTTTGATAATTGGAGTCATAGCCCAGAGTAAGCTGCCCTTTTACTTCTTGCACACATTCAATTTCGCTGCTTCTGTGGCAGCACATGTACATTTAGGTGGAAGGAAAAAATGAAACAACATCTCTGATTGAGATCTCCAAGGTTACCACAGGATTTGCCTCCTTTCCTGGAACTGAAATGATTGTCCTTATTGGTTCTTATTCTGGGCTAAATTTGAAAGCACACAGTCCTTCAATCAGAGGCAAGGAGTGCTAATAAAAGTGTCAGAGGTACTGCTTCTTACCAGTAAGACTCTTGCTATACTCCAGCACATAATTTGTCCTGGGTATAAACAATTGCCGACTCTATATTGGCCCAAAAAAGGCAGACTGCTCCTGACATCTACAGGAGACAGAGCCCATGAAGTTTAGTAAGGTCAGGATTGTTTGATTCCTAGGAGCACAGCTCTGAGTCCCCTGCTGATGTCACCTGTGCAGCAAGTAGGATCCTGCTTCTGAAGCTACAACTTCTCTTTAAAGATGTGATATCCTAGTCTCAGTCTAAAAGTGCTGCACTATAAGCAAGGAAGATAATCCAATTCAGGATTTACTACCTGACACAGAAAAAGAGACTCCTGTTCTTTCCTATCCTGGGGAGGTGCACTATGAGAATAGCTATGCAATTGTCTCTTTTATCCAGTTACCTTGAGTCGCTGAAAGTATCAACAATAAATGTTCCAAACACTAGCTTTTCCGTAACTAGAGTCCTGGATGGACAAAAAGAATTTTACTTGAAATGAAATTTACTTCTTATAATCCTTTTGTCATATAGAGTCTTAGAGGTACAACTTTCTAATGTTAATGGGTATTGGCAATTCCTTGCAACACATAGAAAATCTTGGACCTATTTCTTTTTTTCCTTCTCAGCCCATTCCTCTCTATGACATCAGGTGAGGCATGAACTTTATTGGAAATCAGTTATTTATTTATAGTGACAGTGAGGTATTTCATGCTCCCTTGAGAGTAATTAAGAGCCCCGATTTCTTTCTTCTTGTTTCTGGTGTCTTCATATGTTTAGAACTTCGGACAGCTAATCTTGTGTCTGATAACTCACATTCTGAATTTCTATGAGGGATAGGAAATTTGAGACTGGAAAATTTTGTCATTATTAGAATGACCCCCCAGCTCCGAATCTGTTAGAATCTTTCTGGAGCATTTTCAACACAGATACCTGAGGCTTATGCTTAGCATCATGAAAAAGCCATTTCACATCATAACATAGTTACCCAAAGCCTCTAAGTTTCTATAGAAATAGACCTCTGCATGTCATTGTGTTAATTCCCTATTAATATGAGAAGAAATATCTCAGACAAGGGTCCAGTGATAACCAGACCTATCAGCTTATCACTATGTCTTCAGGACTCACTTTATTTCAACTTGACTTCAGTGGAATAAGGCAAATAATAATTTTAGTTCTCTGACAAATCAAGTCTCTAGTTCTTGAGCCTTTTATGAGAGTAGGGTATTTATTCACCTTATGACATTAATCATAATCCTTGCAAGTAATTGATTACTTCTATTAAATGTAGGCCACTATGCCAAAAGTAGAAAACATTAGAGGTCTATTAAATATGTGCTGTTTTACGTCATTTTGTTCATGAGCATGAGACATTTTGTTCTTGCTGGAGTTATATGCAGAGTAGTTTTTCCATTCCTACCCCATGTAGTCATACTCAGTGAAGCTTCTAATGAGATACCATGTGGATATCCATTCTATGAAGACTTTAGTATGTAGAATCTTCAGTAATAGCTTATCACCATCATATTAGGAGTACTAACCCTGGTTTGGAAATAGTTTGTGAATCACCAGTGGGGGACTGTGGGTGCACCCTTGGCCAAGATGTTAACCAAGTAATTCTTTACAGACATCTGAGAGAAGACTCTGATTCCCCTTCATGGTCTAAGATGTGCAGTTTTCGAAATATCTCCATGATAAAAGTTGAACCATATCAATTACTTTCATGTATGAATAAATGTTTTCGTATGTGCCTCCTTCTGACACACATTTAGATGCATAAATGTATATATATATATGTATAAAAATACTTATGTACACAGATGTATGAACAATTATGTAGCTGAGCATTTCTCACGTTTGCACTGTATTTATATATTGCCACTCTTTTTCTTTTTCCTCCTACCTTATCATGTCTGCTGCTGAAAATTCCAAAAGAAATATTACTTCTCTTGAATTTATTTTTTCATACATACACAAGTATAGTCAGAAATAAATGATGCATTGCACAGTATGTGGGGAGGATAAATGAACATTTTTATCTTTGTCTTTCTGGAATTGAAAAGCCTCACAATTTCATTTTGACAAACCTGCTTCTATCTGTCTTAACATCCATCCTTTTTCCATAGCTTTTCTGGTAAGTGTGGCAAGTCCAGAGAATTTAGAATATGCTCTGGCATGACGATATGTGTTGTCCTGCTGCTACCCTTGTCTGGTTTTCTTTACTTTGGATTATATTTTTGGTTTGTGTACATGTTTTCTAAACATTGCTGCTTGAAATTCTATATCCTTTTTAGAAGACACTTTTTTCCACTAAAGGAATCCTATTCTTTAGGATCATGAATTGTATCGTAGCATTGAGTACCATAATTTCATATTCCAGGAAAAATGTTGATTTGTGTGGATTTATCAGTTAGCCATATATATTACAAGTACGTAGCAGTTTCTGTAGGTGTGGAATTTTGTAATAGTGCTGTAACACGATGTCAATTTGGGAAAGTTACAACTAAAGTTGTTTGTGGCTATAAGGATAGATATATAGAAAACAGTTAGAAAAGACAGAGATTGCCTTCAGAGAAGTTGCCAAAGAAGGACTTCCTCTGAGTTCATTATTTCTTAGCTTTATGTATCAGGCTAGGTTAATATATTGGTAATTATTTTCCTCATTTAAATGACATACGTTTCTATTAATCAAAAAAGATTGAAATATTCAGTCATGTCTGTGAGAAACAAGGATGCAATTCCCTAGGGTATGTTAAGTCCTGATAAGTTTTTTCATTTGTTGTTTGTTTGTTTGATTTTTTTTGAGACAGGGTTTCTCTGTGTAGCTTTGTGCCTTTCCTGGAACTCGCTTTGGAGACCAGGCTGGTCTCGAACTCACAGAGATCCACCTGTCTATGTCTCCTAAATGCTGGGATTAAAGGTATGCGCCACCACCTCCAGGCCTGATAAGTTTTTTCATTTGAAGGTGGTGGTACAATCATCAATTCTGCCTTGATGTTTTCAGTTTTGTTAGCTGTAATTTTGATTTGAACAACACATGATGATGATGAGTAAAATAATAGCTATATTATTGGCTCAGGGGACTGTTTCTAAGAACATAACAATGCAAAAATTAGTTATTAAAACATGATTATCAAGAAGAACGATGACAGAATGTAATTTAATCAACTTTTGAGGTTTTATTTACAGGAGACTCCTCAGCATTGTTGACATTCCCTATGTGTTGTGCAAAAAAAAAAAAAACCCAAACAAACGAAAAACAGCAGAGACACTTGATATATTTTGTTCTTGGCTTTTATTTAAGCATTCAGAAATCAAGTGATGAAACTGATCAAGTGCAAGAACAGATTCATAGACATGGAA